TTATTCAACTCATATATTTGGGACTAAGTATCATTCAATACTATTTAGTAAATACATTGTGTGTTCTATGTTATCTCTACCTGGTGTGAATAGTATGTAGGGTTAAGAATGAGAGAACAAATGTGAGAGATGAGAAGGATGTGGTCCCTGTCCCAAAGGTGTCAGTATAAGATAGTTATCATACATTTTCAAATTGTTCCTATACTGCTGAAAAAACAAATCAAGTTGTGTAAACTGCATGGAATAGGTGGGAAACTTAAATGCAGGCACCCTTAGCATGAAAATATGAACAAACAAGAAGAGTTCACTAAGCAATCTGGGAGGGTCATTTTTCCAGGCATTTAGATAAGTTTTTTACATATTTATTTGTTTATTCTTGAACAATAATATTGAATTGCAGGGCCGGCCAGATAGCTCACCAGACTAAAGCATCTGCTTAGGCAGATGCAGCAATCAGAGTTCGATCCCCAGCATGCTATGCCAGCCCCGCCCCCAAGGCACACTGAGACTGGGATTGAGACTGGGCATGGTGGCATGAGCCTGTAATCCCAGCTCTTTCAGAGGCTAAAAACAGGAGGATCTCAACGAATCCGATTTACGTAATGAGACCCTGTAGACCCTTACTAAAATACAATGATAATAATAATAGCATTGAATTGCAATGGTGACAACAGTGAAGTAAATAAAACACATTCGGCCAGTATTTTCTAAGTCTAAAAGGCAATAATTATAAAGTAAGAATTAGTAAACTATCACTTACAGGCCAGTTCTGGCTTACAGGCTGTTTTTATATATCTTTTTAGATTTTGTTTTAGTTAGTGTATGCTTATAATACAGAATAGTGCTGTTCGTTTAGGGGAATTTATACATGCTTGTAACATATCTTAGATAATTTTCAATCAATTTAGGCCACACTCCCTTTTTTCATTGTTACCATCGATCTGCTTCTCCATTATCAAGAGTATATTTTAGTTCCTATCATCTCAGCTTTATTTTGTCTTTTCATTGTTTTTTTCTTTATGTTTTAAATTGCTCATGTAAGAGAAAAGATGTAGTACAAAGTAGTGTAACACCTTCTCAGCCTGGCTTCTTTCACTTAATGAGATGGTGTTGATTTTAATTAATTTTCCTTGATTCCTTTGTTACATAAAAGATTTTTACTTTTTTAAATTTAATTTTATTTTGAGGAGTAAAAAGAGAAACAAAAGCAAATAAAAAATAGCAGAAAAAGGATAACATAAAACAATGCATATGTTACATATTTTCAAAAAAGTAATACCTAATTAACAATGGTTGTTATATTATCTATTTATAACATAAAATCTGTTGCTCAGATTAACAGATATAGTTATGCAAGATTGGACAAATAATTGAATATTAATGCTTGCTTTCAAGAAATCTTAATTTTTCCTTGTCTTTTTTAAAATTTAATTTTAAGAGAGAATAGTAATTGATAAGATCAGAAACAGTACACATTTAAAACACTGAGATGAGAGGTATTCGACCGTGGGTTTTGTATTACGCATTGCTGTCCTCGATGAAATTGCTCAGATTGTAGATATCAACATACAGATAGTCAAGGTGAAAATTCTAAATGTTGACTGCTATTTTCAAAAAACTGATGGAAATTATTAGCACAATCATCTCAGCCATCATATATATGTACATGATTCCCCCCTTCCTTTAAAAGTTTTTTTTTAATTTGATGTAATCTTTTTTGTGGATTCAGTATAGTGTGCTGTTAGCGTCCTTTTCAGGAAGGTTTTCCATGTTCCCTATGTCTACAAGTGTCTCTCCTATGCTACCATGCAGTAGCCTCAAAGTATCTGCTTTTATATCAGTTGGGCTTGATTTTCCTTCAGGGTGAAACAGAGGGCTCTAGTTTGTCTTTTACATGTAAATATCCAGTTTTCTCAGAGGCATTTGTTAAAGAGGCTGTCATCTTGCCTTTATAAGTTTGTGGCCACTTTATCAAAAATCAGATAACTCTAGGACTTAGGTTTGATTCTGATCTTACATTCTGTTCTCTTATCCTACATGTGAAATTCTGTGCTAATGCCATATTATTTTTATTATGATAGCTTTGTAGTATAATTTCAAGCAATGTGTTGTGATGCCTCTTAACTCAGAAGACCTAAGATTCTATTGAATCTTTTCTGATTCCGTTTGTTTCTTAGGACTTTGTTTTTAGTGCTGAAAGAATGTTGTTGTCATTTTAATAGTAATTGCATTCCTTAGGTATATTGCTTTTGGTAATATGGCCTTTTAAAAAATATAATTATTTATCAATTGATTTATTTGATACAGGGTCTCGCTACACAGTTTAGAGTTGTACTGATCCTCCTGTCTCTGCCTCCCCAGTACTGGGATTACAGGCGTGTACCACCACACCCAGTTTTGGGGCCAACACTACATGCAAACTTGGGTCTTTGCACTCAGACTGCTGATCTATCTCCCCAGCCCAAATACGGCTATTTTAACTGTAGTCATTCTGAGAATCTATGAATAAAACATATAGTTCTATTCTTGTTTTTAGATAGGGTTATGCTATATAGGTCAGGCTGGCTTGTAGTTTAGAGTGGCTGTGCACTTGCAGCACTCTTCTTGCCTCATCCTCTACCTCCCTCAGCCTGCTGGGATTACAGGTTTGCAGCAACATGCTAGGTTCAGATTTCCTTTTTTTATTGCTACTAGGGACTGAAGCAGGACCTGTTCATTGAATTCTGTCTCCAACCCCTTTTTATTATTAGTTTTGAGATAGTATCTCACTGTCACCACATTGCCAGGCTGGGCTTGAACTTATGACCTTGATGCCTCTGGACTTACAAGTGTTCTTCTACCATACTCAGCTTCTAATTTCTTCTTCAGATTCTTTCTGCAGTGTAATATAATTTCCATTGCACAGGTCTATAACTTCTTTGGTTAGGTTGAGTCCTAATTAATTATTTTAAGTCTTTCAGAATGGGGTTCTTTCCTGATTTCCTCCTCAGTACAGTCATTATAGGAGCATAGGAATACTATTCATCTCTCTGTGTTGATTTTCTTATCCTACCATTTTGCTCAATTTGTCAGATACAAAAGTTTAAGGTGTAGGTTTTCAAGTCTCATATGTGAAAACATATCATGTGCAAATAGGCTGATTGGAATTCTTCCTTCCCAATCACATTTCTTTTTTCCCTTTATCTTACTGCTCTGGTAAATCTTTAAGCACAGTATTGAAAAAAAGAGGTGATAATGGACTCTTGTCTTATTCCTGATTTTAGAGGAAATGCTTTTGCCTTTTCCCATTCAGTATGATGGCTGTGGCTTTGTCATATATAGATTTTATCAGTTTGAGGAAAGTTCTTTTTATACCTGTTTTCATCAGGGTTTTTATCACAAAGGGATTTGCGGTTTTACTGAAGATTTTTTTTCTATATCTATTGAGATGATCATGTGAGTATACTCTTAATTCTCTTTATATGTTTCATTACATTTATTGACATGTATATTTTAACACCCGCAGTCCTCAGATGAAACTGACATGATTACAGTGAATGATCTTTCTAAAATGTTGAATTCTGTTTGCAAGGTCTGTTTGAGAATTTTGGCATCTGTTTCATCAAGGAAATTGGCCAATATTTTCTCTTTTTTCTTGTTTGGAACCTTATCTGGTTTTGGTATCAAGGAAATGCTATGTTTAGAGAAAGAAGCTAAAAGGATTGCTTTCCTTATTATGTGGGAAAGTTTGAATATAATTGGCATTAGTTCTTCACTAAATTTCTGGTAATATTCAGCAGGAAATCCATTGATTCCTGAGCTTCATTTTGTTGATAGTGTTTTTCCAAAAGCATTAATTTTATTGCTTGTTATTGGTCTGTTTATGTTATTTATATCATCTTAATTCCATTTTGATAGGTCATAAATGTGTCTAAGCATTTATCCCTTTCTTTCAGCTTCTGCAATTTATTGTATTATACAATTTCAAAATAATATCTAATAACACTCTGGATCTCATTGTTATTTGTTACACTTTTACCCTTCTCATTTATAGTTTTATTAATCTTTTTATATCTTTTATTTTGTGTTTTCCTTCTTTTCTTCTTTTGATCTTTCTGAGTACTTTTCTTTCTCCTCTTATGCTCTACACCCCAGCTTACCCATCATCAATACTATTTCATTCTCTCAGGCTATTAAAAACTGTGTGAATTGTTAAGATAAGTTTTATATTATAGGATTGATACACTGTTGATTCTACAGATGCTGATATAATTGGTCCTCTTCTTTCAATGTATTTGTCTAGATTGATCCTAATATTTTGAGTACGTTACATATGGACATAAACATCCCAATATAACCAAAGCAAAGCCACATCATGGGGAGACATATGCAAACTAATGTTATCCCCACACTTGGGGGAAAAATACTTTTTTTGCGATCATGAAGTAAAAACACATCAAGATGTTTGACACTATACAATTGGAATTAGTGAACGTTATCATGTTCTCAGATTATAAATATTAGTAGGAAACAGTTATTTAAATATGATGAATCAAAGAGCATAAATAATAAGCATACCTTTCATAAATATTTTTTCATAAATATTGTATATAGGTCTTGTACATCGTGGTAATTTATTTGTAATTTATGGTGTAAATGTGTTGTGCTTATCAGATGCATTCTTTTTCACCTGAATATCTTTATATACAGATTCTACAAAATAAAATGCTGGTTAACTTTCTTTTACTCTTTCTTTTCTTTTTCTCTTATTTAAAAAGTTACAGGGGCCGGGGAGATGGCTCAGTGGAATAAGCACTTCCCTGGCAAGTGCAAGGGCCTGAGTTCAATCCCTGGTTCCACAAAAAAAAAAGAGAAGAAGTAAAAAAGTTACAGTGAAAGGCAATCTATATGCTACTGTTCTTTGATTTTTTTCTCATTAAAAACATATCAAAACATGACTCATACATTAATTTAAATGTGTGTGCACCATAACAATTTTTTTCTATTTTTTTTTCTTTCAGTGTAAAACTCTTTCTGGAGTCTGTGACCACATCATATCCTTGTCATCAGATCCTCTGGTTTCACAGTCTGCTCACCTGGAAGTTATTCAGCTGGCAAATATCAAACCAAGTGAAGGGCTGGTAAGAGATAAAAGTTTTATCAAAACCAATGTCTATCAGCAAACAGCTAATGATATATGGACAGCAGCCTCCAAATGTAGGAATATATGAATTTCAACACTGAATATTTTCTTTTTCCTAGAGAAGTTTAGGTAGTTGGCCCTTGTCATGATAAATAGTTTCATATTAGCTGGGCATGGTGGTACATACCTGTGATCCCAGCCCTCTAGGAAGCTAAGACAAGAGGACTGCCAGTTGAAACCAAGTCGGAACAACTTAACAAGAACTTTTCCAAAATTAAATAGAAGTGGGGATAAAACTGAATGGGAAGGCCTTATGTTTGATTCCCTGCACTACAAAAACATTGTGTAGAGCGATTAAAAATGGAGAATTGTAACTGGGAATTTCTCATTTATCCCATTTAATTTGTTAAGGTTTTAGCTTCAGTTGCACTTCTTCACACCCTTCCTTCAATGAAAATTTCTTAGGCTTAAAGAAAATTAAAGTGAAGCATTTTATAATAAGCACCATAATGTTACCTGCCTAAGCAGATATTTTCTTTGTTTTATGTTAATTTGTTCTAGCCTTAATAGATCTCATATAATGGATAACTAAAGGAAAATGATGTTATTTAGAAATCACATTTATTTTTGAGGGTAAGAAAATAGATATTGATAGTATTATGTTAATACCTGTGAAATGTATTCATGCTTATTATGAAATAATAAATATAATCAGCCCCTAGATTTTCCTTTGTTTTAAAATGCATTAATTCTAAATTCAGCCAAAGGGTTAATTTTTTTCTTAATGAATCTACTTGAAATATAAAATTAATATCTATGAGGAAAAGACAAAAACAAAAATCTAGCTAGGGAACACGTTACCTACTACAGAATTATTACACATTAGCTTAATGCTACAGTGCTTCCCTGTAGATAAATTTAGCGATTAATGATATTTTAGAAATTAGAGATCTTGAAAACTAGTGAGGTATTTTGTTGTTGTTGTTTTTGGTTTTTTTGCAGTACCAGAGATTGAACTCAGAACCCTGCGCTTGCCAGCCAAATTGAAAACTAGTATTGATAATTGAATCTAGTAACACATTGTTAAAAATCTCTAAGCATGTTTAACGTTTTGTAGCCTTTTTCTTCATACATACTCACATGTAACTGTTTCAAAAGGCAAAGCCTTCATTATCAACAAATAATTTTTTGGTTTAGGGTCATTTGTCTATCCCATAGAGTGACTGTTCTCCTGATATTTGGCCATAGCTTTCAAGAACCCACAATTCCTAGCATTTTTGTAGTTTTATCTGAAAGAAAAATGTCACCTTATCATATATGATCATATGGCTATGTGACATAACTTATAATGTGTCTTATGTTATATCTCACTTTGATTAAACAGCTTATTTCTAATATATATGAACTTATGAAGCAATCTGTATGGTTTTAAATTCAAATCATGGCACTCCCCACTTTTCTACTGTGTAGTTTTGTATGGCTTCAGTTATATGGTCATGGATAATTCCAGAGATAAACAATTCATCAACTGTAAAATGCACATAATTCTAAGCATTTTAATGAAATCTCATATGATCCACCTAGAACTAGAATCATCGCTTTGTCCAATTTCTCCACACTGTATATGCTACTGGCTAATTAATCACTTATTAACCATCTTATTTATCAAATTGACTAGTATTACAATGTTTTTGCTTAAGTAATACTTGTTTTACTTAATAATAGCCACAAACTCCAAGAGTATTAAGGGTGGCTATTCATACGTTTCAAATAGAAGCTAAAAAATATTTCTTTTAAATGAAAAATTGAAAATGCTAAATATTTTACAGCAATCACATTCACATAACTTTTATCATACTATATTATATTAAATGTTTTATTTTATAACTTATTGCTTAAGTCTTTTATAATGCTTCATTTATAAAATAAGCTTTATCCAAGATATGTTTGCATAGGAAAAAAACATAGCATATATAGGGTTTAACACTATTCCTGGTGTCAGGCATCCCCTAGAGGTCTTGGAATGTATCCCACATGGGTAAGGAAGGACCACAATATTTTGGTTACCTTCACAAAGTCCAGTTTTGTAAACCCTTGAATCAATGGTATTACCATGTTTCCCTTTCTGTCATATTTCTGTAGTTACCAAGGAAAGGAAGCTCTCTAAACAAAATTTGTAGGATGGAAAATTTTAAATTAAAATCATTACAGACTTGAAGTCAGGACACCTAAATATAAATCACCTATGTAAAACAGAAGAGTGAGAGTGATCTTGGGGAGGTAAAGAATGAATTTAGCTTCCTTGGACATGATCTTGTCATAAATAGTGAAAGGGGCCAATAGTGGATCATCTTTAAAGCTTGTTCTAGCCTTGTAGGTGTGTGGTTTTAAAGGTAAAATTTTGAAGAAACCTACCCCATTGTTTCCTCTTATTTACACTGACATCATGGGTAAAAATCACCATGTGGAATAAGTCAGTATAATGTAAATTAATAGGTTTTGCGACATCTTGTTTACTTTGAACAAAGGTATGGCTCTGGTGAGGGGTTTTTTTTATTTAAAAGAGGTAGATCTGTGTCTGGTGTTTGATATAGCTATTAATTAAAAATACTAAAAACCAGATTCAGTTAAACGTTCTGGGAAGAAGCTGAAAGAGAAAAGAAACAAGTGCCTACTAGCCACCAGATCTTTTCCTTACAATTTTATAAAGTACTATTTTTCTGAGTTTATAAGTGGGAAAACAGAATCATGAATCTTCACCAATCGATCCACTGTATAGTAAATAAATAATAGACAACAGAAATAGAGTTCAACAAGGAAAATCTATACAAAGTACATCCGAGCAAAGTTTTTCTCTATTATTTCAAATTCAGATTTAGAATTACCTAAAGGGCGGTATTGAAGACTTGTGATTTTAAAAGCCCAACTTATTTTTAATAGATGATAGGTACTCAACAGTGGTTGTTATATTGCGCATAGTTGTCTCTAACGTAGTTGCTCAGATTACAGATATAATCATATAAAATTGGTGAAAATAAAAGTTTTAAGCATTAACCTTTAAAACACTGATAAAAATCAGAAGTACAGCCATCTATCTATCCTGTGTCATACATAATATTTTTCCCTTCCTTAAAGGAATTCACTTTCAAGGGACAATGGGCAGCACCTTACTGGTTTGATATTTCAAAGGGAGGAAAATATTGAATTAGTTCAAAGTGAAGTTTTATAAAACTGTTTATTGTGATTCTTACCAAATGGGGAAAGCCTAGAGATTTTATATGACTTATTCAAAATATTTTAAAATTCAGGCATCTTTAAGTACTTTAGAAATAGATTTGAGGTTTTGATATGTAAACATTCCTGTCACATGTACTTAGCAAATAGGAAATGTCTAAATAGTAAATGAAGAGGAAAAATATGGAAGAATGCTAAGCTTTAATGAAGTTTAATCAGCTTATACAAGTCTGCATATCTTCTGCCAACTTTCTTTTTTTTCTGTATTTGGTACAGGATCTCACTACACAGCTCAGACTTGTAGTGATCCTTCTGTTTTCAGCCTCCCTAGTGCTGGGATTACAGGCATGTGCCACCACACCCAGCATGAGATATTAGGGATCAAACCCCAGTCCCTGCACTTGCCTAAGCAGGTGCTTAGTCTGCTGAGTTATCTCACCAGACCTTCTTCTGCCAGCTTTAAAACAGAGCATTTCTCATAGTCAAAAGATAACTGCTGGGCTGGAGAGATGGCTCAGTGGTCTAAAGCACCTACTTAGAACAAGCTTAGCAAAGCATCAGGGACCGCGGTTCGATCCCCCAGCACCACATGCCAGC